ATGCTGCATCATTGCGGAATCAATGGGCCAAGAAGGGGCCATTTCTCGAGTTCTGAGGCCGTTTCTAACGTTTTTTCATCCCTGTACCTTTGACCCTCTCTGCCTCAATTCTGTTAAAGGCAGCGATTACGATAAAGTGGGAGCGCATCGGGAAGCATATGCACCACACGAATCAGTTACTTGGCTGCCAGGGAAGCGAGGTGTGGCGCTTTCACGACGAAAGGTGCGCTGGTTGCTGAGCAGGACTTCGAAAGCACTCCGCCCCCAAAAGCGATCCGCCCACTAGTTTAGTTGGTGATTTGGACGAGCTGCGTTGCCAGCAGCGGCACAACTGGAGCAACTCGACTGGAGCATGGTTGGCATGCTGCCACCAAACGCGTTGCGGTGAACTCGTTCATACGTCCGCTTTCTGAGCTGTTACCTGTTCATGAGTGAAAACCAACGGCCAAAAAAGGGGGTCCCGTTTTGCGTTTTCTTGACGGATTTCTCCGCTTTTTTCGCTACTGGCACCACCAGTCTCCTATAAACCCTTCTTGAACCTATCGTAATCACTGCCTTTAACCTGCCTTCGGCTTTCGCCAAAACATCGCTGATTCGAACACTCAACTACTGCAGTTTATCTATGGTATGAAATAAAATCTGAAACCGCCTAGCTCTCTTTGAAATAAAACTCAATTCATCATAAAAAACGATGTTCAATAAACATAAGGGCAAGAAAATTCTCTATAAACCGTCTAAGACATCAAGGCAAGACTTATGGGAATCCTATACCATGTAAAGATATGTATACTCGCAAAGAAACATTCGGCAAGACATCAAAATCAGATCGTCAGAAGGCAAGAGGGCTAGAAATATCACACATAACAATAAATGAAATGAATATACAAAATTGGCATATAATTGATCACCTAAACTATGCAAACTAAAATTACTGAATGCTAAAGAACTGGGCGAAAATGACGTGTCCCAGAAGTGCGTCACCGAGCGTGTGTAATAGGTACAACGGGAATTTTCTATAGAATCGTTGGCAGGAAATGAGGTCTCATGGAGGTTTTAGATCGGCGAGTGACCGTCGAATCACCTTGAGGGATCGACTAAGGACTGACTTTTAAGTGACTGACCGAACACAGACGACTGCTAGCTTCCGGTCAACGTTCGGAATGCTCATCGAGTTTCATCGTCGTCTTCATCTTCACCTCAGTTCTTCTAACAAGCTCTATTGATCTGGAGCACGAACCTAATAGAAGGTAACGGAGGGCGGGATGAAAAATTAGCACAAAAATTTGAAAAGTACCTTTATTATTTAATATAAAAATAAAAATATAAGCTAGGAGGGGGGAATAGTAAAAAATATTAAAATTAATATATATATATAAATAATTGAAAATAAATAGGGATAGAAACTAAAAACAAATAGAAATAATTAGTTTTTTAAAAATTAAAAAAATAAAAAAAAACAAAAACAATTAAAACATTAAAAATTATACAAATATAAATAATGTACCTATATATTGATATTCTTAATACTCAAAATGAAAATACCTACCCGGTCTTATCTCTTTCTAGGATTCCATTTCTTTAATCGAACTCCAATTATCCGGCAGTAGAGGAAGTCTTCGTCGTTCATCCAATCCAAAACGCTTTTTCCAGCCTAAATAGTCGCTATAGAGGATTGCGCCATGCATTTCTTTTCTGCTACAAAAATCATGAGTAGGCCACCTATTCAAGTTTAATACTATTTCCGAGCGATCTTTCCAAGTCAATTTGCTAAAGACTAATTCTGAGCGCCTCAAAAAACCGGAAGAGCTGCCGCATTTAGCGGGAGTATTCGAAAATCGCTGAGGTGGGGCGGCGTTGATGTGTACGCACGAGCGCTAATTCGGCAGTGGTTTACGACGTGAGTCCGTCGAGACACTCGCTCAATACGCTAAACGCAATACCTGCATGACCATGCCGAAGCGGCATTCGCGTTGGCAGCATGGTGGCAAGTGTCGGGTGCAGACCATGCACAAGTGACGACGGCCTCCACAAAATGTAATGTTTTCTGCCAATGAAATGATTAGCCTGTTGCAGTTGTATTCTATCAGTTGTCACTAATTACAACTATCATTTACCAACTAATCAGCTATCACTATGAACCACTAGTAACCAGATTTACTTGGAGGCCGTCGTCACTTGTGGTGTGTGGTCTGCACTCGACGCGCTTCTCTTTTTCTGAAAAAGAGGGTACGCGGGCGATAAAATCGTGGAGCGGAATGAGAACAGAGAGCCTTGCACGGATGCTTGTGTCTGCGCCTCGCTAATTCCCTATACTCTCTTGTTGTCTTCAAGTCTCTTCTCCCCGTTGGTGCACGCTATCTCTTCGTCCGTCTGCAAAAGTCGCTTATCTGGATTTTTTTGTCGTTTTTGTTTCTTTATTTCATTATGGCGATCCAGTTGAAAACTCGACTTTTTTCGAGCGTAGTAGCCGAACCAAGGTGGTCGCAGAATCCTTCTTACTACTTTGGATTACGTGAAAGCAAATATGGAATATTCCTGAACCTCTGAAAACCTGTTTCGCCCTTCGTTCGTAATCGGTACTCGACAAAGAGGCAGAGCTACTCACGTTCATGGCTTGTTTGATCATAGCCTGCTCCAGCTGCTGGTAGCGGATCGTCATCTGATTCTTCAGAGCAGAGGTTGAGAGTGGCTGCGGTAGCTGCAAGCAGATTTCGATGCAAATCTGTACACACTTTTCTTCCCTAACCTAAGCTCACCTGCATTGTCGGTTCGCTTCTTTCGCCTTTTCTCTCGTTCGTCTCCTTCGAAGCCGCACCATCTTCACTCCTTCCGCTGTCTGCCTTTAGATCTTCTTCTGCGCCAGCTGCGGTCAAGCTTTGGTCGTCACTGGGGTCTGAAAGCAAAGCACCACGTGATTCACTACAAGTAATAGGCCAGCATCAATTAGGTCACTTTACGGAGGAAGTTTATTGGGGTAAACCTGATATGATTAACCTAATTTTTGTCGTCCAAAGAGTTACGTCTGAGCTTTGTGCCCAAACTCGAGCTGTCATTAGCGACAATCACGTCCGAAGAGAATTTTCGCTCTCATCCCTTTTGAGAGTTCTGAATATGAACGGTGATAACCTTCAAAAATGTGGACTGACATTGCTGACTCGGCTCAAGTTTCTTGATTTTGGACGATTTTTTTTGTCTAGCTCTATTCGTACCCTAAGTTCTCTCTATTGGCGCACTCATATTGAGTGTATAAATAAATAAATAAATAAATAAATAAATAAATAAATAAATAAATAAATAAATAAATAAATAAATAAATAAATAAATGTAATAACCTTCAAATAACATACGGCGCCTAATTTGACAGTGAAGGGGAATCGATATCCTAGTGGAAGTGTTCAAAAATATTTGAACCATGGCAAAAATTTTCTTTTGTGAGCGTTTGGGAAGAATAGCACATCCGCCTGGTTTCATCAAAATACTGGATTTTGAACAAGAATTCCGGCCGCCATCTCATTATGAGGCAAGTGCGTACAAAAAAAAACCCAGACAAAACATACTGTGAGGAGTTTTTGCACAAGGAAGTTTGATTTACCTATTTTTGCTATCCAAATCTATATATCACATAGAGCTTCTATTGAGAAATTCGCGCTCTAAAGCACTTGCTACCCATTATAGCGTGAGGCCAACGGCTAATTCGTTGTGTAGCGGAGTGACCCGATGGGCTGTGGCCGGTTGCGTTGTGACATCAATGTAGAAATAGATCTCTCTGCACGCTCGGGGGTGTGGCTGCTATCCCCTTCTAACGCCCTACCCCCAGTGACCTTCAGTGACGTCATCAAAACCGCAACCCCCCCCCCCTTCATCCTGATTACTGCGCTCGAGAAAAATCCATGGTTCAGCGCGGATTAAAGGACGAATTCACGATGAAAAAGCAACCCATTTTCAAATTAACCTAGGGATGGTGAGTGGTACACGAAAGAAGGAAGAACCATGAGAAACGGCCCAGAACCCGAGAAATGGTACCCCTTCCTTGCCCGTTGATTCGAGCATTGATGCGACTCTCATCGCTGTGCCCTCTTCAACACTACGCTCTCTCAGCTATCTAATCACTCGCCACGTATTGAACTACGGCGAGTGATCAGATGATCGGTGGGCGGAGATCGCCGGACCGCCAGCTTTGAGGCATGATAGGTCGCCGAGGTCAAATTTTTCCATGCGAATTGCGCGTCAGTTCGCACCCTCAGGAGGTCCGTGGGTCCCTCAACTAGGTCAGTTTCCCTTTCTTCGACCTTCATTCTAATCGTGAATTCCTCCTTTGAGTAAGGCCAAGTATACCTCTATGCTGTCTGCTTATTTGATGAGTTGAGGCAAGTAGGCGATCGATCACTGATGCCTCCATCAGTGAAGTCGACTGTTCACAATCACCTGAATTATCATAATTTGGAAAAATTCAAAAGCAGTAAGATTAGTGAACAGACCATCGTCCAGCTCCGCCTTCACATTACTTAATGATAGACCGTCAACACAGTTGGAATAGCCGTCGCTGTTATCGCCGTAACCATCACATGCTGATAGCACCCTAAAATTTGTTTACAGTATCTTGTGCCAAGGAATTGGACTGTAGCCAATGATACTTACAGATTATCTTTCAGGTAAGGATCAAGCCAAGACAGGTGCGAGAAGTAGCACCATCGAATCGGTGTCACGAAATTGTGCTTGATTGCCGTCTTGAGCTCCTTCCGATAGCGATCTCGCAACTGCAGCCATCGTTTCTTCGCAAAATCACCTAGAAAATAGAATAACTCTTCGAAGGGGGTCCCTGACGTATCAACAAAAAGGATCTGATCTACCTGAGCAGTTGCTGTCAACCGCAGCTGCGATCATTTCCCATATCCGCATCCGTTCCATAGTATCGCCGCTGCCCCTTTTGGAATGGTTATAGAGACATGGATGTTTCTTCACCTCGGCGATCAGCCGCGCGTTAAACGCCGGTTGGAACGACATCCCTGAAAGCGCCGAAAGTTTATGGCAAAACAATTCAAGCTTTTGAAAGCGAGTGGAAATCGAATCGTGGAGGAGCGAAATCAAAAGCGACTCCGCTGAGGTATTTCTCAGTGCTCAAACCGGAACCGGAAATCCATCGAGAGCCGGAAAAGCCACCACCGGCTAACTGCGTTCCAAGACGACATGCCGTTCTAGCGACATATCAAAATGAAATCGAAGGCAATTCAAGCGATGTTAATTAACCGAGAGATATTCAGACATTTTCTTTGACGAACTCCTGTGAGTTAAAGGCACGGGTCACGGTCAGACTAATGTGTTAGTTTGTTCAAAAATGAAACAAAAAACCGCCGATGAGGACGAAAAGCAAAATGATTCATGACAAAATACTGAAATTGAGGTTCTTATCTGTATGACGGACGGGCGGAAGTGGTGTAGTGGCAAGTGGCACGCTTACCACGCGAGCGGTCCGGGGATCAAATCCTGAGTCGCCCGGGCCAACCAAGCCTTCCATCCCTCCGGGGTCGGTTAATTGGTACCAGACTTGTCTGGGAGGATAAAAACACTGACTTGAACATCGGCTGGCCCCCGCAAGTCATTGTATAGGCCACATCGCATTCAAACGCCACTACGAATGTACAAATGGAAGTAGAATGCGTGCCGCATCCCAAAGGGATTGATCAACGGCAAATGCTTTATCCTTTTATCCTTGACGCGAACCATTGTACGAGGAATACAGATGCGGTGGAGAGGAGAAACGCAAGATAGCATTTTTGTTAGGGAGGGTCGCAGACCGGTTTGCTATGCTGGAAACGATTGAAATGCAGATGTCGCAGGGTGACAGCTTTAGATCTTTTGCGCCCATTTTGTATTTGCGATGTGTCTCATGGATCCTAGCTGTTACTCAACGAAAAATGGTTAAAGGCTTGCGCAATATATTAGCCTTTAGCTATAGTAATCTCTAGAGCAATAGTAAGGTTCGGTGCAGATTTATTCAGTCATCGAACCAGTTTTTGCAGCACAAAAGTTGAGCCGGATAGCCTTTCAAGTGGAAAAATATTATATTGAATAATGAAGAATATTATTTATGTGATATGACGTTCTTTACTTATACGAAACAAAATTACAAATTTATGTCACGTGATGTATATGGCCTGACGACAATTGGGAGAATCGAGTCACGGACGGAAGAATATCATCATCATATTACACCCCATTCCGTTCCCCAAAATGATCAGCTGTTGGACATAAGGTAGAATAGTATAAGGTATGCTTTCAGATATGTGCACAGTAGGACATAAAACGTAAAAAACTTCAAAGAGTGATTTTTAGTGCGACTATCGCTCATTGTTAGCGTTTCCTCGACTTTCCAGAACACTTAGAGTTTGCTTTGGAGACAAAATATTGCGTGTGGATAATTTTGTTCGAAACGCCGTTTGTCACGATTTTTTTGACTATAGGAGAGACGAATAAATATGGAGGAGAGGGATAAAGTCTTAAACTCGAAATTACAGTGACGTATAGTGACAGAACCGAACGATACTCTCAAGGGTTTCATCTGATTTTGAAATATTAATAAAATTCTTAATAACATCGTGTTTACGAAATATCCCTTCGGTCTTAAAGGCTGTTTTGTAATTATTAGAAGCTCACAAGACGAAGTTTGATGCATGATAAAAACAATATAAGTTGCTTTAAGTGGAATTGGTAAAGATTCCCTCGGAATGCGCCATATATTCGATTTCCTTTGAGAGAAAATTGTTATCCTTCAAATGTTACTCTTTTATGCATGAAACTTGCAAGGTAAGCCTTATTTGGTTCAATAAATGTGGAATAATGCCACGAATTGGTATTAGTTGTTAATTTCGTTTCTACAGGTATCAAGCACTCGTGTCCCACTAGAGCTGTAAAGACCTTAAATTCGCAATTAGAAATGCTGTCTATCTGGAATGTTACCGCTCCTTAATTTTGTAGGTTAGCCCTAAAAGCGTTGCTCGAATAGTAAGCTTGGTTGCGTGAGTGGGCGAGGGTTTCCAGAGCGTAGCGCTGGGCTTCTTACCCGCTCGTTACACTACTTCTACCAGAAAATGGAACAAGAAGGTCGACGAATTTATGGAGGAAATCTTTAAAAAGAAGCGCTGTCACTTCGAATTGACGTAGTGCCGAAGGCTGGTCAAGACTAGCATTTTGTGGAACATTTTCAGCTGAGAACAAGGAGGTCATCGTTGTCAGATGAAAAAAATGACGTCATCAGTTGGATTTCAAGAGAGGCTGCGCTTTCAAGAGTCAAAATAGCGCATTAAACATGTGCTGTCGCTACCTTTCCGGCTCATGAAGTTTCAATGAGGCGGCTCGCTTCATTTTGGGCAGGCGAGTGAAATAGCGTGCATGTGTACGGAGAGCGTCCAAAATGAAACGGGATGTCACGTTGAGCCAGCCGGCCTGTTTCGATTTCCTTACCGGAAGCCCATGAATGTGCAGTACATCATCCGCAGGCTTCCGGTTAGCTTGAAAACTCTCAAATTATTTACCCCGGTAAGTCAGATGGGCTAGTAATTACTTTGGTACGCCGGCATTCAGGCGCTGATTCATCCACAGTTGTTTGTGCAGTTTCAGAAGTGGGCATTAAGACCAAGAGGCGCTCTTAATTACATCTTCCTACCTCACTAACAAGGGAGTTCGTTCAGGGTGCGCCAAGCTTTTTCAAATGGGTCTCCTCCTAAATTGGCATTCATAGGGGCAGCATATGGGGACCACAGAACCATGGTTAATTTTTCCTGAACGGCCCTCTGAATACCAGAAAAGGGGGTCCCTAGTTCGATTCCTCGTGGTGACAAATTTTTGCATTTCGAGTTGACGTTTCCAAAATTCGCGCAAAATGGAGTTAGCATGAATAATTAGTACCAAATTCATGATTAGGAGTCAGTAACCCTTACAAATAGACTTTGATTGAAAAACTGGTGAAAAAGGTGTGACTAGGGACCCCCTTTTCTGGTATTCAGAGGGCCGTTCAGGAAAAATTAACCATGGTTCTGTGGTTCCCGCATGTGCCTCTACATCATGCAAAAGACCGTTTTGAAAAAGCTTGGCACACCCTGAAAGACCTTCCTTGTAAGTGCTGTACCACGCCAAATAGCCCATCATTACGCATTATTGTTTAGTGACGAATACATTGACCGCTGACCAAGCTGATTGCGCAGTTAAAAAAGAGAAAAATGTTGTTAAATTGTCATCTGTCGGGGATGCGCCAGATGTATCCTGCTGCATCTCAGACTAAAATAAAAGCAGCTGACTAAGAATGCGAGTCTTTGTACTCCCCATCTGTCGCCAAAAAATGAGTGTCAACCATAATGCAAGACGCGGAGTCTGGAACCAAACTTATCATCACAATGGGAACGGAATAGAACAGGCTTGCACGGGTGTAACTCGCGCCTCATTATTCAGTATCCTGATATATACATCTGACTGCAACCGTGCAAGAATCAGAAACGTTGGTACATAACGACCCTCAAACAGATACTTTCTGAGCCGAGGACTGTTAGCTACTGAAAAGCCTTTCCCTAACCAACAATTGAGACGGAAACCAAGCGACAACAGGCACCGATGAGACTTACATGCATATAATGCTAAAGTCGTTCCCCGTCTCTAATATCTCTTGTAGCAGATCAAGCGCCTGCGAAAATAATCCCGCCCCACCCTCCAAAACTCAGGAAAAAGAACTGTATGCTTTCCTCCGGTCAATAAACATGTTTGCTGCTAAGCTAAATTTTGTAATTGGCCCCCTTTTGCCCGTAAAAATTATTATTTGTAGTAATATTCGCTGATATAGCCCCTTCTACATGTCGAGCGTTCCAGGATGCAGAAATCCAATATCTAACTCCTTAGTAAAACGCATTTAACAAGCACATCAATGAAGCGGAACCCAAGGAGGACCAAGCTCATGATCTGTCAACCGAGTGGCAGGTTTTTGATATTCCCACCTCTCAGCACATAAAGAAGGCTACATCGGTTGAGATTCACGTAGGAGATCCACGCTGAATCAAATGAAGGGTGAATGGGAGAAAGTGTGAGGAAGCGAAAAGTTCTAAATCCACGAGAGCCTCTGAGATGACATGAATGGAATACTTTCAAGAGAAGCACCTTGACGTGGGTGGCGGTAAAGGGCTATTTTTTTCCGGAAACTCGACACCGCTTTTTTTCAATCGCTTCTATCGACCCTTTTTATCAACCAATTAACAAATGACGGGAGACACGCTATACACTATTCATACTTGAGGGAAAAAAAATTTGAGATCATTATGTATTGTAATTTAAAAGTAAAAAGATACATTCACAGGGCAACATCGCTAAAACGTGTCTTTTTAGTTAAAAACGATACTCTACAAGCCTTAGCGAGGGGTGGAGACTCCCAGCTGCGTTGGCCATTTTCATTTTCCCCGGAGCTCCTGCCCCTCCTAGGCTTGGTCCTGGAGGATGCCCCGGTATACTGCGATAGTGCCCAAATGGGAATTCCAGCGATGCTTTCCCTAATTTCGGAATTCAATGCGAGACTGCTCGAGGAGGGCTAAAAAATTCGGCGGAAAAAAGAAGAGAAATACAAACAAAAATCTATTTACCTACAAAAACCCTAAAAAGCACTAGTTGAAGGAGATTCTCTACGATTTCTCGGCACTTCCTGGAAATTGCGTAACAAGTGGCTGCGTGACGTCATTGTGTTCGAAAGAACGCTATGATTCATCAGACAATTCTCTGAGGGAGGACAATCTTTCGGAAAATAGGAAAACCACTAAAAATCGGATAAAAATCGGGGATCTCCTAGAAATCATGAGTAGCTCCTCATCAGGCGAGGATTGCCTTGGAGCCTTTTCTCCAGATTCAGATCACGGTGAAGGGTGCGAAATCTGAGGGTTAAATAGGCACAACCCCTAATGATTTGTTCTCACTAGCGCTTAATTAGGGTGGCCTTCTACGTATAAATTGGCGCGATTCTTGCCCAGTATCTC